TTCCCCTATAGAGATTTGCTCAGGAGATTCCAGAAGGTACACAAGCCATCCCTAGTTATTGGGGTTCTTTCTTTTTGTTTTTGGGTTTTTTTGCCTTCCCTTCTTCTTAATCCTTCTGACTATGCCCTTAAATCTTAAAGTGTAGCTTCTGGTCCGTTTCCCCTCTTCCTTCTCCTCCTCTCAATGGTTTTGTCTTTTTGTTTTGTTTTGTTTTGTTTTTAAGCAGCATAGGATAGCGTGATGTTTTCTAATATTAAGGAAATGATGGTTCTGGATGATGGCTTTGAATATTTGCAAATTTGGGAATTTTTTTTTCCTTTTTGACAACTCTAACACCCCTGTTTTCTTCATTAGAATAGATTAATAGAATTTAGCTAACTAATTCTAATATTTTTGGTGAAGTCCCTTTCGTTATGCATTTAAAAATACATAGATATGTGTTTACCTTGTAAGGTGTATACTTTTCCAAGTGATGCCATCAGTTTTTGTGTATCCATGAGTCTGACATGACAGTGGCTTAATTTTCAGGACGTCTACTCACTTAAAAAGAATTGAAAGTGAGCTTTTCCATAGTCTCCCACAAGTGAAGGCTTTTCCAGGACTGGTCAAGTCTTAGAAATTCAACAAAGGTAGAACAAGAAGGTCCCAGAAAGTTCCACGTTGTGTCTGGCCTGAGACCTATCTCTGTGCATTCTCATGTGTTTGAGACACAGAGGAGAGACCCAAGGACTTAGTTAACCCCAGATCCCTTCAGCCTCTCTTAGAACCACTCTTAGCTGGGGAAGAATAAAGTCTGTTTGGTTCTTTTCCTGATTTATTTGGATTGGGTCATAATCAAGCTGGCTTCTGCGGTAGATGACAAAGACAAGACATGCCCATTGGCCCATTATTGCCTATTGCTGCTTCCATCAAAAAGGAATAAAGAAAAAGACAAGATCATACGAAGTCCCTGGAGCCTGTTACCATACTTCTTTGGTCCAACATTGACATCCTTCCAAAAGTCTCACTAAACATTTCCTCCCCATTCTTTACTTCTATTTTCATTTTTAGTTTTTAAAACACTGTGGCATAATTAACATACGATGAAACAATGAAATTAGCATACAATGAAATTTTAGATGTATGGTTTAATGACTTTCAAAAAGACAGTTTGTTACTCACAGTTCCCAAGAGGAGGTGGCCCAGCATGCCCTGCAGGACCATGTGGGGAAGTACGGGGTTGGTCAGGAGGCAAACGAACACATGCCCATCTAAACCACAGCGTTTCCACCCTGTTAGGATGTTTCCTGTATATTAAGCATGTCTTTTTATTCTGATGTTTTAACATCTGGGACCTTACTGATTATGGAGAGAATGCCTGTCCCAGGGCTAGCCAGTTCTTAGATAGTATAAAGCATCTTCAAAAAGTTCATGGAAAGATTTTTATTATCTTCTAATTCTATTTCTCCTTGAACTTTTTGTAGTACTCTTGTAAAT